TTTCACAACCTTAACCCTTGAAACTGTCCGTCCGGTCATGTATATGTACTCATAGGAGATAACCGTGTTTGACGTATCTATACGCATAAGACAATCTAGCGGCTTCACCATCAAGCAGGAGAAAGCTGGTAGGCCCACATGTGATAGAATGGGTCTCCATGTCAGTGTGCACCATATAAAAAAAATCGGGGAGTCCAGTGGTGCATTGTGGGAATACCATTTCAGGTCGTCCCTTTTTTTCAGCATGTCTACGGTAAGAAATATGTGACTTCTCCTGCAAATTCTATCTGCTGGGACCGTTCTCTTCCCAAGTGGATGCTCTAGCTAACACAGATGGAAGTGTCCCAAGAAGATCAATTCATGATTTCAGGAGTTTGAGACCAAAAGCCCTAGTGATATGATGAGGAGGTGGAAGGAGGAGGAGGAGGAGGAAGAGGAAGAGGTGGAAGAGGCGGAGGACGCTCTCGTGTGAGGAGAGGACTGAAGAAGAGAAGGAGAATGAAGAGGAGGAGGAAGAAGAGGGGAGGAAGGAAGGAGGAAAGAGAAGGAAGGGGGGAGGAGGAGAAGGAGGGAGGAGGAGGAAGGAGGGAGGGAGAGGAAGGATGGAGGAGGAGGGAGGTGTGAAGAAGGAGGGAGAGAAGGAGGGAGAGGAAGAAGGGAGGAGGAGGTGGAGGGAGGAGGAGGAAGGCGGGAGGGAGGAAGAAGGAGGGAGGAGGAGGAAGGAGGGAGGGAGGGAGGATGGAGGAGAGGAAGGAGGAAGGAGGAGGAAGAAGAAGAGCAATAAAGAATAAAGAAGAATACGGAATAATAATAATACCCTAATACCTAATAATAATTATATGTATAATATTTTCCCCTTGAGGCTTGAAACATTTCACCCCCAAATAGAGTGGACAAGATAAGGGGACAGATAACATCGATAAGAGCTGACCTTTTAGATGAGCGTAAACAGGGTGGCGGGAGGGGGCAGCTGTCCATCTGTCAAGAGCCAGGAGAAGGAGGAGGAGAGAAGGATAAGAAGGAAGGAATGAGGAGAGAGAAGGAGGAGGAAGGAGGAGAAGGAGGAGAAGGAGGAAGGAGGAGGAGGAGGAGAGAGGAGGAGGAGGAGGAGGAGGAGGAGATATGAATGTGACGAACCAAAACATTTGTCTGTCTGTTCTATTTGTCTGTCTGACAAACTCCCTGTCATCCATCTAGCTCTGTCTCATAGAGAGCCAAAAGACTGTCATCATCACGTTACTCACATCTTCAAGCAGGAGTATAGCACTTTGTCTGGATTTTTTGGTTTCCTTAGGTATTTACACTATGTATAGTTGGATTTATGTTTCCTGTGAGACAGAGATAGACAGAGAGAAAGAGAGACAGATTGAAAGAGATAGAATGAGGAGAAAGATAATTAGATAGTAATGGCGGGGGAATGCAGCATCCGACGCGCCATTGTTTTGACAGGCGGTATGGGGAGTGACTAATGAGACATATATGTCATTTTGACAGCTGCCGACTCCTGACTCAAAACAATTTAAGCCACACCTCGCACACAAGACAAGCTTGCTGAAGGGTTGATAATATAGGAGTTTTAATGATAGTATCTATGACTAATATGTGTATATATATTATAGAAAACCAGAAGCAAAAGGGAAGGCAGGAATGAAGGAAGGACTAGATGAAAGGAAGGAAAAAGTAAGAAGGACAGATGAAGGAATGTAGAAGAGAGGTGGAATGCCTCTCCAGATATGATATGCCCTTCATCAAATGCACTGACTTAATTTATACAATTATTAACAATAATGCATAGCAGTAAATTTTTTTTTTTTTATTTTGTGAATAAAAATTAAAAATGGAATTCATGTTAAAGCAAGAGAACTAATGAACAGGGGAAATGTTTACTTTAGTGCCAGTAATGCCTGCATTGTTTTATTTCTGGACCATATTTTGAAATTGAAATATTTGAAATTTTTGTGAAATTGGACAAGTTACCAATTTCTGAACACTTGAATTGGGTAATTGAAGCAGTTGATTGGTGGTTTCTTGTTTTGTTTTGTTACTCTTGAACATCACAAATCAAACATTTCTGCTACTTTGAGCTCAATTTTCAGCTACTTTCAGCTCCCCATGAAAGCAATCAAAATTATCTCTAGTTATGTAGTATAATCCTTCCATTCTGTGAAAATGAGACCGAGAAATCAAGAATACAACATAAACACCATACGAAAAACACTGTAAATTCACTGTTTTAATCCAAACACACAGTGCAGTGTTTTTTCCTCATATGCACTGCGTGCTGCAGGATTTTTTTATATTGTGCACACTTACTGGCATAAGACCCATTCTCTCATATCTAGCCCAACTTTAAACACCACTCAGCTTATCATGAGTGACCTTGAGCTCATGCATCATATTATGGGACCAACACTGGCTTCAAAGCCGTGATATAACGAGACTGACTCCGGAAAGGTTGAACGTCATCTAAAAGGTACTCTTCAAGCAGCACTGGACAAGCACCTAAAGCCAGTCCCTGACGCATCTGGGCTGTGGGTTCGTACGTTAGATTGTGTGCGGCCAGCAGTAACAGCCTGGTTGATCAAGCCTGACCATCCATGAGGCCCCTGGTCACAGAACCAGCCGCGGCGTTGAACCCGAACTCCCTCCAGGTAAACTCCAGGTAACTTAGTGGTAGCACCTTTGGACTAACAGTGAAGACCTGGTTTAATCCTTGGTGCATCAAGACACATTCACAAATCTGTTTAATGCCTGTTGCCTCTCTTCACTTTGGCAATAAATGGGCAACCTGGGCTTCATTACTGTTGCATGCATTCAGTAGATGGTAACATGCTGTAGATGTATGGCTGGGGTTTAAAGTGACAGTTGGCTGAAAACGTTCTTTTCTGGTAAATTCATCAGTGTTAAAAATAATCATAGTTTTTATGCACAGGATTATTCGTAGGGAATTCAACTAAAAAGTCTTTACCATGATTTACAGAGAAACTCTTAAGCAGACTACTTCGTGTTTAGTCGTGGTCCCAGTAAGCAAACACCATCAGTGTGGTCGTGGTAGGGGCATGTGAAGGCCTTCGGATCGCAGTCTTAAGAAGAGCCTCAATCAATCAGAAGAGCTTTCACCACAGGCGCCAGCTTGCATTACGCGAAAGAGTGTCTGCTTGCAAGTTTTAAATTTACTGTAGTGAGTATTACACTCCTTAAACACAAGTGACCATATTGAACTCCCAGTAATTCACTCCTCGGGTTTATTGACCAGCGGTAATTTGACTTCCTTGGTAAGTTTTACTTTGTCATTTCTTTAGAGTGCAGGCACTATAACATTCCACTTCGCAGGACTTAAGCCCACATATAATAACGCTTCAACTGCCGCAGTGTATAATGTATTGTCTTTTACAGGTGCCGGTTTGTACGTATATATCTCATAAATTCCAGGGCTCGCTTCAAATCAAGAAGGAGAAAGCTGTAGTTCACAACATGTTGGAGAGAATGGGTCTGTGTGGTCAGTGTGCACCATATAAAAAAAATCCTGGAGACACGCAGTGCATAATGAGAAAAAAAAAAACTCGGACCGATTTTTTTTTTTAATTAAAATGCCGACTTTGTGGTCTATTTTATTATAGTATTTATGGTTGTATTCTCGTTTTTCTGTCTCAGATGATAGAATGGAAAACATATATAGAAATAGAGGTGATTTGAATTGATTTTACATTAAAATAAAAAAAAGAACCTGAAATGGAGCTCAAAGTAGGGGGAAACGTTTGATTTTTGCTGATGTTCAAAAGTAAACAATGATGTCATTGTCCAATAAATGTCCAAACTACCATTCTAATATGCAGTTCAATGAATGGGTTGATGTTATTTATAGCAAATTATTACAGTATGCAGTAGTCTGCATAATAGTAAAATTCTTCTGTGTTTTTTTGATTGAATAAAAATTCAAAATAGAAAGCAAGAGTAATATCAGAGGGGCCTGTGAGACATGACTGAATGAACAAAGAAAAAAAATGTTATTTTAGACACCGAATAATGGTCAGCATTGCTTCACGCACTCTTATTTTGAAATTGTCATATTTTTAGTTTTCGTGAAATTGGCAAATTGCAAATTTTCTGACCACGTTATTGGGTAGTTAAATTGTAAATTGCAGTTTCTTGTACTCTAATCGATAGAAGAAATGAATTCTGAAGAAATAAGCTCTACGAGTTTTGGTCGACTGGTACAGTGGAATTAGTTGAAAATAGGGCTACAAAGTGGGCAAAATCGCCAGATTTGTAAATATCGCCGACTCTCTAACTTCGAAAAACCAAAACTAAATTTTTTTCGCTATCCGTAATATTAAGATCTCATTATTTAGTTTATATGTGGCATGGTTATTTTCCTGTCCAATATCTAGAACTTTGCATTTGTCTATATTAAACTGCATCTGCCACTTCTCCGACCACTGCATCAGTCTGTTCAAATTTTCCTGGAGTGCTCTAATGTAGAGAGGATGGACCAAAATAGAATGACTTTGAGAGTGTATAAATCTGTAGTGGAGGGAAGGTGGAGTAGGGGTCGGCCTAGGAAAGGTTGGAGGGAGGGGGCAAAGGAGGTTTTGTGTGCGAGGGGCTTGGACTTCCAGCAAGCATGCGTGAGTGTGTTAGATAGGAGCAAATGGAGACAAATGGTTTTTAGGACTTGATGTGCTGTTGGAGTGTAAGCAAGGTAATATTTATGAAGGGATTCAGGGAAACCGGCAGGCCGGACTTGATTCCTGGAGATGAGAAGTACAGTGTCTGCACTCTGAAGAAGGGTTGTTAGTGTTGCAGTTTTATAACTGTAATATAAGCATGCCTCTGGCAAGACAGTGATGAAATGAATGATGATGAAAGTTTTTTTCTTTTTCAGGCCACTCTGCCTTGGTGGGAAACAGCCAGTGTGTTACTAATAAAAAAAATATTTTTATTATTATTTTTATTATTAGGTTTGCTATTGTAACAGAGATCCATATTTCTTATTACAGTTGCGAGGTTGCCAAATCTTAGATGCTCTGAGACTACATAAACAAGGTTTCCCCGAACATCTTCAGTATAGTGAGTTTAGACGACGGTTTGCCGTGCTAGCACCAGCCGAGGCACGAGCCCAAGCGCCGGTGCTGGATGAGAGAGCTGCTGTCGAGGTCATTCTGGCTCACCTGGACCTAGATTCTTCGGTGTATCGTCTGGGTCTCTCTCAGGTAAGGTAATCCATGGTAATGCTAGAGATTTACAAGATCTTTGATGGATTTACAGGCAGGAATAGATACATCATTGCCTTGCAGTGTCTGTCATCACTGCTATAAAGGGGTGCTTTCATGTTGTGAAGAGTTCTTGATCCAAGAAATTAGATGAAATCCCATTATCTTTCACTCCCCAGGTACTATGCGACCCCAATTGATTTAAAACACTTCCCCATGATTGTAATATATTAATTCTCATCAGCGTACATGAGTGGAACAACTGCTAGAAATCAGGTGAGTTGACTTATCAACTCATTTGATAGGAATGACCACTACTGAACAGGTAAGTCTGGTTCACTACATTTTGACCTCATAACTGTGTGTTTGTGAAGAACTCTTGAGACTCATCAAATGTACCAAGGCCGGGCTCTAGGAGTGAAAGAACTCTCGGGGCTCATCAAAGGTACCAAGGCCGGGCTCTGAGAGTGGAAGAACTCTCGGGACTCATCAAAGGTAACAAGGCCGGGCTCTAGGAGTGAAAGAACTCTCGGGGCTCATCAAAGGTACCAAGGCCGGGCTCTGAGAGTGGAAGAACTCTCGGGACTCATCAAAGGTAACAAGGCCGGGCTCTAGGAGTGAAAGAACTCTCGGGACTCATTGTTACAAAAAACGCGATTCTAAAAGCGTAGAGATCTCCAGTGAATACTAGAAAGGACTGCCCTTCTAGCATCCAGCCTGTTACTGGGTTTTCGTAACAATTAGTCAGTATCCTTGTCCAATTATCCATTAGAATTCAGTATGATTCAATAGTGCTTCAGGATTACAACTGGTAGGCTACTAACTAGAGAAATTAAAATTTAATAAATTTATTAAGTTGTCTAGGCGTATATCAAATTAAATTAATCACAGTAATCAAAATAATATTAATCACTTCTCTCGTGTACAGTAGTATTGTGCTGAAAGCACATATCACATTTATAATTCTTAAGTACCGTCTGGTACATTAACATTTAATAAGATATTACAAATATGTACAAGTAAGTTTGTGTGTATGTGTGTAAGTGCTCTAAGTAGTTTGCTATGTCTCATGACTCGACTAGACTTAAACAAGTGACTGACAAAGTCCTCAAATAAACTAACTTCTTGACCAACTGGCTATCAGAACAGTCTGCTTGAACAATAAAAAGAATGCTAAGCCCAATAGCAATATAACAAGCAACTGCGACACAATCAGCATCAAGGAGATAATATAACGACACTAAGTAGGGACCATCAGCAGATCCTCCACAAAAGTCACAAAACTCCCATAATACTGAATCTAAGTTCAGCATAAGAAAATCACCGACTGTGATAGTACACAGATACCAGTACAAGTTAGGTCAGAAGCTACAGCTCAGGACCTGAGTTGCTTAGAGTGTCTTTGCGACACACAACCTCAGTACAACGTCGAAAATCACTAAGTCTATACAATGTTCTGTGAACAGAGTCCCATAGAACCTACAAGAAAGCTAGAGACGATCTTCCAACAAGGGCCTATAAGAGAGATTTAGGTACTTTGTCTGGAATACGTCCAACCACCAAGAGAGTCTAGACCAGACTGAATACTTGAGGCGAGGTGAGGACACCCCCCCTCGATCACGTGATAGCTCCGTGGACAGTTACTGCCCAGCAACAGAAGCCGGCAGGGAAACGAGCCACAAGCGATAATTACAGTAGTTAGACAATCAAGACTTGAACTGAGCACATATGTTACATCCTACCTAACAACATAACTAAGTCAAATAATAATATAAAGCAATATATTTACGATTTAGCTATTATCGCAAATATAAGCAATATAAAATTATATGAAAATATACATTATATTCATAATCATAATATACATTGTAACCCATTCAGGGGTTGCAACACCCCCCCCAACACGACAAACGGTCGCACTAGGAGTTGCGTTAATGTCTTTTACATTATTACTGATTACTCATATCAATGCAATTTAATATAAACATTAATCAGAGTCACTCTTGTGCCAAGCACTTCTATAATTTAACAGTGTCTGTTTCACTATAAGTTATCCCCCAGTACTAGGGCAGTACACAGTATCGTATCTCTGCATTCTCGTGGTTATGTACATCAGTGTAGAGACAGGATAGCGTAGACAAGCATGACATGTTGAGGCTTGATCATAGTAGTGGATATGAACAATAGTCTTGTGCTATAGACAGGAGACAGCATTCCACTCTTAAGTAGTGGTTGTGGAATGCTATGCAGTATGGAGATCTGAGTATGAAACAGCTTAAGGTGTGTAGTGAAGGGGGGGGTCTGCGGCAGGACAGTGTTCCGCCAAGCAGTAACATCACCCACACGACACTACCCACTCATCACTCAGCTTCTGTCTCCTCCTCATACACATCACCACTACTGTGAATATATAAATATAATAATTAGACATGACATGAGTATACATAGTTAATATGGGCTGGAGGGATTAAGTTACTCTACTGAATTTGACATAGCAAGTAACAAAAGGTATTTGGGCATAAAATTACGTTAATTTTAAATGGGGAAGTGCCCAAATACACGTCAAAATGTTCAAAGGACACCACAAGAGCTAGAGCCTCTTTCTCAATAGTGGCATAATTTTTCTGGTGTCGTATAAGCTTAGATGAATAGTAACATATAGGATGGAGAATATCAGTGGATGTTGACTGTTGGAGCAGCACAGCACCCACTGCATAACCACTCGCCTCTATATGTAAAAAGGGAAGATTGAAATTAGGACTCTTCACAAGAACAGAGGAAAGCAGATGCTTCAACCTTTTGAACAAATCTGAACAATCACAATCTGTCGGTATTTTATACCATTTTAATGTTCAATCTGTCAGACACTGCAACACAAGGGTATCTTGGTACAGACCTGGAATCAACTTCGACTACCTCTACTAGTGAGAAAACGGCTGGATTTGAGAGGGACCTGACCTCCCAACATCTGCGTTCTACTAGTGACCTACGTCTCACCTCCTGGTGCTATATAAGGCTCCATCCTGTCACTTCAACTCCATATTGTTTCAAACTTTGGAACAATGCTCTTCTCCAGACTGAGGGACTGACCACCTCAAAACTTTAAGGGTGATGGACTGATTACATCATCTTCAAGTCTCTTCTGCTTCTGTCAACTTTTCTGTACTGGACTGAAGAAGCCTACTGTGTAGGCGAAACGTTAAGAAATAAAGATACCAAACTGTTGCATATGTGTCTTACCTAACAATCACTAGTCCAGATGAACTGAACTTTGCTACTAGTGAACATAGTGAGAGGTGTAGGTGGAGGTGTGTGTGCTGGCTTGCCTGTCACTTGACACACGTGGCAATGTCGCACATGATCAGCTACTGTTTCCTTCATTTTAGGCCAAGTAAAATGTTTTGCCAGTTTACCGAGTGTCTTCTTGACATCCAAACGTCCTCCTATGGGACTATTGTGAGCAAAATCAATGGCTTGTTCACGAAATGTAACTGGTAACACTACGAGATGCTTGACTGTGGTGGAAACACTATCAGCTGAAAACTTACGTGTATTTTTCTCCATAAGTACACCGTTACTATAATAGTAACAATTATCGGGATCCTTTGCTTCACTCTCAGTAACTGCTATATCTCTCAGTCTTTCCAGTGACTAATCAACAAACTGATCCTTGATTAAATCATCATGAGTTAGAAATTTATCATCAGTTGTGTCCTGACTAAGTCGCTGACAGAGGGGAGTCAATGTTAATGACCCTGGGCGCAGAGCATCACTAAACATATTCAAGCCCAAATCATTGTCATCCACTAACTCAACAGGAGACAGGGATGGTTGTTGAATCTTTGACATAGCTCTAGTAATTGCGCTGATAGGAAATAAAATAGGCTTCTCTCTACAAGCTTCAATGGCATAATTATCATCAGTGTTATCAATCACAAGTGGTTCTTTACATATACCAGCATGAAGGATATCGTTCCCTATCAACAAGTCCACTGACCTGATGGGAAATACACCACTGGATATACCCACTGAAATATAACCAGTATAATAGCTTGTTTCAATGTATATTTTGTGAAGAGGTACTTTTATAACAGCCCCACCATAGGCTTCTAACAATACATCTGTCTTGGTATAGGTATCGTCAGTTATGGTCAGTACATCTTTTCTTAATAAGGTGAGATAACTGCCAGTGTGTCTGAAAGTAATTATCTCAGTTAGATGTGATTCGTCAAATCCTACTTTACCTCTCGAAAAGTAAGGACTCATCGCTGAACGAATCTTTTCGTCAGATACACTTTCTGACGCTAGTCATCTGTTCTGAGTAATATTATCTAAAACATAGGATCAGAGGTATTACTAGGATTTTGGTGCCTTTGTTGCTCAGAAGAGGATACGACTTGTGTGGGGCGCCAGCCGCACGACTGCTTCTCGTACCTCTTCTAACTTATAGCAATACTCTCTAGCCATGTCCTTTTGTTACAATAGGTACATTTAACTTTCTTCTTCTCGATATCAGATTTCTGTCTAGCCACAGAGACAGATACAGGATTGTGAGTTTTCCTGGTAAATGTATGAGAAGTTACAATAGCAGGTACATCAGGCCAGCAATGAGCAGCTGATTTAGGTTGCCAACTTCTAGGACAACTTTTAGTTACCTTGTTTCTCTGTGTTTTAGTATGTACAAGTTTGTGAGAAATCTCGTAATTGTCTGCTAATGCTGCAGTTTCCAGAATATCCGAGGTAGTATGATCGATCAGATATTCTTGTATGTCAGCAGACATACAGTTGTTAAACTCTTCGTGCAGTAACAACTGAACAAGGCTGTAGTAGTTGGTACATTTCGCAGACCTACACCACCTCTCAAATGCAACTTTTTTCTCACGAGCAAACTCTACACAAGTTTGATCTTGTCGTCATTGTAACGTACGAAATGCGCTTTTGATAACTTACGGTAACAAGTTAGATGTCTCTAGAATAGTTAGCTTGACAGCGTCATAATTAATGTACTTGGCAAATGGTAAAGCAGCAGTACAAGTTTGAGCTCTTCCTGCCAAAGCTGTGTGCAACAAGGTAGCCCAGTGCTTACGTGGCCAGTTCATAGCACGTGCCTGGTTCTCAAACACATCAAAATAGGTGTCTAAGTCACTCTCAAAAACTTAGGAACCATGAATGCAGCTTTCTGCACATTAATGTGTCCTGTGATCTATCAGTCTGTTGTCTTCCAGACGAACATTTTCTCTTTGGAAATCTTCTTCATTCAATTTCCTCTGTGCCTCTATTTATGCAGTCTGCAACATAATGAGGCATCAAACCTCTCAAACTGTTCCTGAGAGATAGGACTAGTGGTAATGGAGGAGTAGGAAATTAACATGTCTTCTGGACTGTCCTTAGGTCGGCACCTCGTTC